GACTTGAACTAATTAAATTAGTTTAAGTTTAGTGTTCATGATATAAATGAAGTTTGGTTAACATATCTCTATTTATATCATGAATACTAAACTTAAACTAACCATAAGAGAGGACTTTTAAAAGAAATTGGAAAGAAAAAGTTTTGGTGAGTGAGTCCTGAGGTTATGGCTTGTTTCATCAAACTTAGAAAATACTTACAAAAGTAGTAGTGGCATTTGGAAATATTTGTCCTTCTCCAATAATCAAATCCTTCCATTTTGTGGAATTCATTTGTGGTGTAGGTGTTGGGATCATTTCAACAGCACAAGGAATTGATTGTGGCTCTCCAATCACATCAAATAAGGTAGGTGGAGACATAGACAATTCATTGACACCTCCAAATAATTGATCAATCCTGCAAAAAATGACAAGTCAGGGTGCATGTATTGACAAGTTGGTAGCAATACAGTAACAACTGACATACTAAGAAATCACAATAACAGTTTTCTTAAACTATACTTACACATCTTGCTCCTCCATTGTATTATCTCTTGTTGCTTCTATGTGGTCCTCATTTTCATTTTCTTCGACATACACATGACCACTTTCTTCATTAAACTTTATCAAATGTTCCACCCCATCATCATCTACCAACTCCACAAAAGTTGTTTTATCAAACACAACAGAGAATTTCAGAAGAAATGAGTTGCTTTCTTTTCCAGCAATTGATGATATAATTTCTTTCAATTCTTCATAACTTGTGCCCTCTTTTACATTGGTTGTTCTTACACTACCTCCCACATATCTCATATTATCTTCTCCATCATTTATAAACTTTCTCCCTATGTGAACAAAGCAAAATAGATGTTTTCCAGACGTAGTCGCCATCAGTAACTGAAACCTGCATCAACCAGCACGCAACTGTCATTGACAACTTAAGGAGCTACATTGATAAGTGTAGCGGCACACATTGATAACAATTGCGGCCTCATTGACAACACAATCCCATTTCGTGCTAAGGGTTTCTACCCTCACTAACCTTCATCTTTTTCTTCCTTTGCCATTGAACTAGCATCAGAACAGAGGAAAACCACCCAAAAACAACCCAAAAACAGAGCACCCATTATCATTCTACACACCCAACTTAAATCACAACACACACCAACCAAAAACATAGCTTTTCCATTCATTAACATCTGAATCCTAAACCAAAAACACAAGCTTTGAAATACCATCAGTAACTGAAACCTGCATCAACCAGCACGCAACTGTCATTGACAACTTAAGGAGCTACATTGACAAGTGTAGCGGCACACATTGACAACAATCGCGGCCTCATTGACAACACAATCCCATTTCGTGCTAAGGGTTTCTACCCTCACTAACCTTCATCTTTTTCTTCCTTTGCCACTGAACTAGCATCAGAACAGAGCAAAACCACCCACAAGCAACTCAAAAACAGAGCACCCATGATTATCCTACACACCCAACTTAAATCACCAACACACACCAACCAAAAACACAGCTTTTCTATTGATTAACTTGTGAATCCCATTTCCAAAACCACCCACAAGCAACCCAAAAACACAAAAACGATTTTTCCATTTCCCATTTCCAAACAAAAGCACAATCTGTCAAGAAAGTAGGAGAGAAGAGGAAAGAAAGTTTCACACCTGAAAGTTTGTGGAGATTCACATGGAAGCTCTTTGGAGTTCACTAATGGTAATAGAGAGGATATTTCATGATCAATGGCTGCTTCCCTCTTTCCCAATGTCTTCTTTCTCAAGCATATTGCGCGGGAAGTCTCACCCAAAATGAAATGCTGCTGCTTCGTTTCTGATGGCTTAGGGCAGGGCAAGAGAGTAATTTACAGATTCTGAAAATTACATCTAAGTCCCTTTGGGACTTCAGAAAAATTATGACATTTCAGGGGACCTTTTTGCTGTATTTTGGCTTCTGTGGGACCTCAATGTCATTCTCCCTTTTTTCAAGCTTAATTTCTCCTGTTGAATGTTCATTAGTGCCACCTTTTTAAGGTAGAAGAAGCCGCCACAAAAGCAGTGAGCTCCAGATGTCGGCATAAGATGACTTGCACGCAAGGCATCGTTATCTTTTATTAAACTTTAGATGAAGTAGTTTAATTGTTTTTTTGGGGCCAACATAGAGGAAGTAGTTTAATTTTTTTTTTTAAAAAAATTTTCCAGCATCAGAAAATGAATATCTTAATTGATGAAATATTGTTCTAATCATTAGAAAAGAAATATGATAAAGTCGGAAAAAAATGATGAGGAGGGAAGAGCAGACCTTGTAAGTTGTGACAGTTTCTTTTCCCCCCTCAGCCTTAGGTATTCTTCTATTAGAAGTAATTATATTTAAGATACTGTTAGGCACTAAATATGAACACGTTAGTATCATTATCATTATCTTCGAGCAGGAATTCAAACCTTAATTTACCATGTTATAAGAAACTAGTCTATTTTGTTAGAGCCAACCCACTTTTGTTAGTTGTGTCAGTTGTATAACATTAGTTACTTGTAATCCACACAAAGCCCACAAAACAGGAAAGCTCTCATAATTTTTATAGGCAAACATATATATATTTAGTCCTTTATGCTCCTCATATTTTTAATATAAGATTTAATTAATTAATTTGGGTATATTAAAGATGTTAGTTAAATTAGCTAATATGATATATTTTTTCTAAAACATTCTAAACATTTTTCTTAATTCTTTCTTCTCTCTCCTACTTGATTATTGTAGGGGGGACATCAATAGGGTTAGTTTGGAAAAAAAATTGATAAACAAATGAAATAGGTTTTACATATAGGACTAATATCAACTCTCTAATTGGTTCTTATATTAAGGATCCGAGTAGAACTAGATTTCAATTTGATTTATTAATTTTAAAAAGTGCTTTGTTAATTTTTAAACCCTAAAATTATTAGGTTCAAATGTTTTTTTTTGGTAACAATAATTATTGTTTTGAAAATTAAATTTAATATGTTAGTATTTGATAATATTTTATTTTTGTTAATGATTTTCACGTTAAATAACTATAAATATACTTTTTAAGATTAAAGAATTAAATTAAAATATTATATACAATTAAGAGATTAAAAATATAAACTTTTTCCCCCAACCATTCTATCAACACCACATATTGATATTTTCAGTTTTTCTCCCTCTTGGCTGCACCATAGGAATTCAATTGAGAACCCCAAGTAATCAATTGTTTTTCACCTAATAAGGCTGTTTTTTTTTTTTTTGGCTTTATCAACATTTTTTACTAAATGAAATGAAGCCATTCTATGTAATTAATTACTATTATAAAAAAAGGGAACAAAATAGTAAGGAGCTTTACAAAAGCGTGGCTACCACTTGCTTCTTTTTTTTTTTTGTTAGGCACATGGATGTATCCTCTTATTAAAGGTAGAGTAAAATACTATAACCTCTCTTGCATTTTGTCTTAATTACACAGACCTCTCTTTCATTTTGAAAATATATATTTAAATCCAAACTGTTAACTCTGTTAACCATATTTCAAAAAGATTTTTTTAATACAAATTTATATTGAAATACTTTCTATTTACTAAATTACCTTTCATAATACTAAATCTCAAAATCTTGGTTAAAATTATATTGAAGAATTTAAGATTTTCTCCTTTACCTTAATTTTTTTTATTTTTAAAAATTGTTGTTTGTTTAATGTTTTTATCGTATTGGGCCAAAAAATTAAGTAATTTAGTTAATGCAAATATAAATTTAAATGATTTATATAAGTTTCCAAACTCGCATAATTTATACTATTTGATAAGAAAATAAGCATTCAAAATATTTTCTGGCCATTTTTAAAAAAAAAATCTTAAGTTTCAATATTTCATGAGAAACTAAAATTGTATAATTCTATAATATAATTGAAATTAAAAATTTTATAACATTAAAAATTTTGAAAATACATGTATTATAATTATTTTTTGTTGTATCACAAATTATTTTTTTATAGATATAACTGTTTAAATAACATTTATGTTAAAGATGGATAATTTGATCAAAATAAAAATTTAAAAGTCAAACTTAACGATCAACTAATGGTTGGATAGATGGAAATTAAATCTTAACAACATAAGGGAGGTTTCTGTAACATATATTTTAATTTGAAGGGAAGTTTATAAACATTTTCAAAATATAAGAGAGATTTTCGTAATTTAAGTAAAATAGAGGAGTGGTAAATATATTTTACTCTTAAAAGTAATTATGTTCGAAATATTATGAGACATTAGATATAAGCACTTCTCCTAATAAATATTTTAATATTAATTTGTCAAGTTGTGAACAACTAATACCTTCTTCTGCTAGACCAACCTCTAATTGTGCTTTACACATTGCTAGAGTTGGCAAAAAAATTTAGAAATCGTTGGAATCTGAATAATTTCAATTTGGATTTGGAAGAATGTGATGCTTTTCTGGTGGAAGAAGAATTGCTGAAGGAAATAATAAATTGGTAGATGTTTGCATTACTTGTGCCTTTTTTGTGACCACATTTGCTTGGGAAGGTTCAAATCTTATATAGACACGCATTATATTTTAACAACATTAAATCTCATATATTAAGATTAATATCACCCTGTCTTTTTTTAACTTTTTAAAACATTATCTCTTCATCGTTGTCAATATTATCAATATACCGAAAATCTATTAATATATGTATAAAACTATGTATAATAGAAGTTACAAAAAAATCAGAATATTCACATACCATAAATAACATGTATGATTTATTTTTCAAATTTTATAATTAGATAATGGTTAAAAAAAACGGAGAGAGAATGTTTTACATGCTGTGCACTGGCTTATTTTTCAACTCAAGAAATACCATAAAATTCACATCGTAAACATACTACATACACAACCAATTTATTATGATAATGCATTAAAAACAAAATTAATCGTCGCGTTAGAATTAACCGTCACGTTATACACAAATCCTAATTAACTAACAATTGACTACCAATTATAATATTTGATACCTAAGAATACAAAGCTCTCAAAAGATGCTTAGACATAGGAAAAAACATCCTTCTCTTGCACTGCGAATGGAAAATTCGGTGTGGCTTAGGTTGCCTACAATACACAAAGTAGAAAAAAATTAAAAGTACTTCTCCGATCTTTAATATAAGAACCAATTATGGGTTAGATTTTGTCATAAATATAAAACCTCAGTTCATCTTATGTTTCGTATTTATCTCTTTTTTTATAAATTAATTCACCTAACTTGCAAATTTTGATATATAATCTAACGTACTGGACTATTTTAAGTAAACCATATTATATTTGTTATAATTAGCTCATTTATTTGACTTCCTTACTTTACCCATATCAGTTAATTATCTCTTATAACGATCAGATATAGTAATAAAAAACCATGAGACAACAATTAACAATAAGAGGAAGTACAGGTTCACCTTGTCCTTCTTGTGCAATTGATCTTCTCTTTGAACCTTCTCAAGTGCTTCTTGGGTGGTTCGTTGGGATGAGAAGCTACTGCTCTTCGTTTTAGCGAAGCTCTTGAAGCATTCATGGAACGCAAAGGAGACTTGAACTGAACATTTTCCATACTTGTCTGTTGCTTATTGACATAAATACCACAGTTAATTATGGACATATCAGCTGGTGAGTCAGACGTAACTTGTATGTCCACATCATTCCATTCCAAATCCAAAAACTTATTAAGCTCCTCCAACTCTTCTTCACTAAAATCACTTAGTAGATCATAGAAGAATACATGAGCTTGATATCCTACAGAAAGCACAAAACGACCCTTTTCTCTTGCATCACGATCACTTTGTACCCATGGCATTTTTTTACTACCATTGATCCTCATAAAAACTTCTAATGTGTATATCCCACTTGTGTTTGCCTTCCCTGTCTTGTATGCGATGAGGACATGTGGGAAATTTCCACGGACACGAAAAGACAATTTGCCACCTTTACAACAAAAGTGTAACCAATCAGGAAATGATATTGCTGGCATAACGATTTCCACGCGAAAGCCCTCTTTTGCCTGATTCATCAAAACAGTAGCAACCAAAGGCATTTACTTACTGATTTGAATGAGAGAATACACATTTGAAAGAGAAATCTATAAAATAGCAAGTGAATAAGGAAATCTATATAAAAAGAATGAGAAAAAACCTGAGACCATAAATGACGTATCGACTCCAAAGTTAATGACATGCACTTATCTGCAGCTATGCTCTGCAGAGTTAATGGTAACTCTGGTATGTCTCTTAGCCTCTTGCAGGCACTCAGATCTAGTCTCTCCAAATAAGCACACTCCTTAATGCACTCGGGAAGGGATACAAAATCATTCCTTGATAGATTTAAGTATCTCACATTTCGAAAACATTTCAGAATTAGGTGAAGATCATCCAATAGACCACAATTTTGGAGTTCCAAGCGATCTAAATTCGTGCAGCTAATAGTCGGTGGTTGGCTCTCTTGCATTAATTTCTTCAAAGATTTTCTTCCATGAGGTTTTATGTCTCCTAATAGAAGCACTCCAAGATTATGTAATGTCAATAAGCTGTTTGGAAGCCCTCTAAGATTTCTGCAAGATCTTAAATTTAAAGAACGAAGCCTTGGAAGATTTCCAATAGATGATGGGAGCTCATTAATAGCACTGCCTTCTGCATTAATATACATCAGTGGATCCATGTTTCCCACGACTTTTGGGAAGTATTCAAGACTCTTGCAATCACTAATATTAAACTCTTGAAGAGATGGCATCTTGATTTCATGTGGAAAGCTTGTGAGTTTGATGCATTCAAGAACGTCTAATTTCACTAGCTTGGAGAGAGATCCCACAGAATCATGAACTTTCATCAGACTGCGACATTCACGAAAGCTCAATGTTTTTAAATTTTGAAACTGAGACATGTCAGGGACTTCAATTATGAATTCACACTTTGAGAAGTCGAAATACGTCAAATATTCAAATCTCTGCAAAACAAATACTAGACTACTTAATTAACTGTAACCAATAAGAGATTCAGCAGGTTTGGTTCTTATCAAGGATTGGAATGAAATGAAATGTTGATTACCAAGATACTATCAAATTAAAAATGTTTGAATGAAATCTATTTCTTTATATTTGATCAAATACAAATAAAAGGGAAAGGATCTTCGCAAAAGAAAAATTAATATAACTTGAATCCGTGTAGGATAATAAATAATTGAGTAATTCTTAGAAGTGAGAATCCTTATTGATTAGGAGGTAGTTGAGTGTGCTGATTTCATAAAAGTAGGAAACGGGGCTTTGACAAAGAATCGTGTTTTTAAGATAAAGGATGAAAAATCTACCTCGAACGATACCTCCAAGCTGAAAGGACTACATCTATAAACTATTCGTTGCTAAAATAACAAGTCCACATGTGGTAATTACAACTTGAGTTACTCACATAATGAGTCTCTATATAGAAACTACTGGTTAGTAAAATAACATCTGCAGATCTAAATAACAAGTCCGTATATAATAATTACAACTTCAATACGTTGAATTACAAGTCTATATATGGAAACCACTACTTATGTCTAATAACAGGTTTGCATTTCTAAGAGACAAGTTTACAAATGAAAATGACATGTCTACTATGTTCAATAACATGCTTGCATTTACTAATTACAATTTAGGACTGCAACACCATTAGCTTGGTTACAACATTTCTATACGAATTACCAATAATATATTAGTAAATAACAAGATTCAATTGGAAAACATAACCACTTACACATCTGGATCATTCCTTGCTCTAAGTTCCCTATCATTCCCTTTCCCTCCTACATACACATGACCACTGCTGTCATTATATCTAAACAAGTTGCAAATATCACCATCATCACAAAGATCAATCAATGGACTCTCATCAAATTTAACTTTATACTTAATGTCATATCTACTACCATCATTGCCTATCCATTGTGAAATTGTTCCACACAACTCATCTACTGTTATCCATTCTTTTATATTGGTTACCCTTACACTCCCTTTAATATATTTAACTATCCCTTCACCATTTGCTTCAAAATATCTATCAACGTACATGTAACAGAACAACTCCTTCCCACAGCTTCTTCGGTTATTGAAATCCATTTTTCATACTAATCTGCAGCAAAAATTTATGTTTAGTCAGTACCTTAGCTTCACTAATAAATATTTACATATTTATTCCATCAACTCAATCATTTACATACCAAATTAAAAACCTGTGACCTCCTGTCTTCCCAACATCACTTTAGGGTTTCACAACTTCACTTTAGGGCTTGACGACTTCAATACCCAAAATCATGGCATCGTTATTCCCTCCTTCCGCGGCAACACCTTAACCTTCACGGTCAAACTAACGGCCATTATCCCACCTACACTTTGCCAAACTACTACACTCCTACCCCTTTCCCATCGTAACCAGCACCATGCATTACAAATGAGAGATAACCATTCACACTACAAAAACAAAAATATCCCACCTCCAACTAATCACAACCTCCTACATTGTGATATCTTTCATCTTCAACCACACCTCCCATTACTATTATAAGGGAGGGGCCTCCGCAAGGCCATCTAGAAGTGCGACAAGTGGCACAATGAGGGAGGAGATAAATACCTTACTTTTTTATTCGTTTTTAAATAATTAGTCCTCTCTTTTGCAATATAATAAATCAGCCAATATTAATTTGTTGTTAACTGCAGATTTCAGTTACCCAACATTTTGTTTCTAAGTATTTTGATTTAGCTAGGTTTTTCCGAAAATTGTGGTTGTTGGTAACTTAAAGAATTTGATTTAGCATGTTTTATTTTTTCCCCCAAAAATATGTCACCGCTGTTATTTTTTACGGGGAATAATTATGTTAGTTTTGAACTAATTAATTATTAAATTTATTTGTCCTGATTGAAATAAATATCTAATTAACAACTTTGTTTTGGAGAATAACAACGGATATACATGCAAAAAATAAAATGTTGATTATTATCCTACTATTTATCCCATATGAAGAATTTCAAAATTCAAATTTTCTTCATTATTTTGTTTCAATATTGTTTTGAGTGGACCCCTGATTGATGTTTCAGAGGCCGTTGATATTTTTATGTCCGATATATATGCCACGAATTTCAATCAATACATATTATAATGGGCTTGAAGGTGGTAAGTGGGGGAGCTTGTAATCTTGTCTCTGATGGTCCGGCTTTAGTGTGTGCGCTTCTGACGGTTACCCATGTTTTCATTGTGAAAGGCCATGGACAGTTTTTTCATAATGGGCAATAGCCACTCTCCAAGTTAATAGCTGATTAAGGGGTTTGGAGTTCATATTATTTTTAAATGATAAAAATAAAACTGGTTATTAAGATATTAATTTATTCCCTTATATATATATATATATGACAATAAAAAATCCTTATAGGTAATAGTGTTTTATACTTAAAACTTTCTATATATATATATATATATTAACTCAAGATATGTAAGAGAGGTGTGCTTGTATATGTTAAAAAAATATCGCTGCATTTATTAGGCATTCTTTAGCTTAGTTATATTTTTGTTTTGCGCCCCACTATCTGAAAATCTGCTGCCCACTATGAGCACAACTATGACATATTTTGTTCTCTGTAATCGCTATGTATTATGGGTGTCAACTGTTGCTACATAACACACGGGCATCACCCGTAACGTTCATTTTCTTATTGTAACCGTAGATGAATTTTTTCCTATATAAAGAGTGGAAGCCTATAGATTTATTCCTATTAGTAAATTACTCCTGTTGTTACCGCACCATCTGTTTTCTCCAAGTGTTCACATGGCTTCTGCATCCAGTTCAGTTCGTACTATTAACCCATACAGACAAAATTGGAGAATCAAAGTTCGTGTGGTTCGATTATGGACTATGCCTGGATGCTACTCTCATGAATAGATATCATCTATGGAAATGATTCTCAGGGATGAGGATGTAAGTGTTTTACTGATTAGTTTAGGCATGTTACTTCTTATGTTCTAAGAGTTATTTTCTTACAAGGTCACAACATCCGTGCTACAATTAAGACGGCCTTCCTTCCATGACATCGCAAGAATTTTGAAGAGGGAAAAACGTATGTAGTGTCATATTTTTATGTTTTTCCCAATACAGGCTCATACCAAACCATTGATCATCCCTACCGAGCAAACCTTATTCTTTTCTACTTTTGTTCAACCATATGCGGATGATGGCAAAATGAACAACTTTGGTTTTGCATTCCATTCATTCTCTGAAATATTATCTGATCAGTTTAATGATCGATATCTAATTGGTAGGCTATTATATAAGTGTTGGATATGTGATTATTATGTTAAAATTATTTGTGATGAGTTAACTCTATATTTTCTCTTATAGATGTCATGGGTTACTAACTGAAGTAGGAGAAAAAGAAGAATGCAATGTCAATAGACACACACGGTTTAGGCTTGATGTAGAGTTACTGGATGAAGGGTATGCTCTTATTCTAAGTCTATTTCTCTCAGTTTGACCAAGTCAATGATTAAAAACTTAGGTTTAGAGTGAAATTTTTTCTTTTTGTTTCTTTCATTTTCACGGGAAGGAAAAACTAGAATGTACATTGTGGGGAACACTATTATAATGGAGGGGTCTCTGCAAGGCCATCTAGAAGTGCGACAAGTGGCAGAATGAAGAGGGAGATAAATGCATCAATTTTTTAATCGTTTTGAAATAAAGAGTAATCTCTTTTACTATTTGATAAATCATTTAATAATTGTTTGATCACTGCATATCTTGGTTGCCCTACGTTTAAGATCATGCACTATGGAAGGAAGACAATTTCATTATAAATAATTTCAAAATTGAATTCAATTTGTAGAATTGGTTATGTATGACAACAAAAAAATTAAGATCCCATGTTTCAAATTTATTTTTAATTTCTGATTACAAGTAATTTTGAATGTGGGTAGTTTTCTAAATATATGGTAGATCATAAATTAAAACATTATCTTTTTAGAGGTGAATGTGAACAGTTTTTTGAGCAAATCATGCTTATATCATGCCACATGATGGGCTTTCTTAAAAAATAAACAGAATAAATTTTTATATTCAAAAAATTCTGATATCATGTTACAATTTTATTTTTAATTTCCTGATCTTAAGTAATTTTGAAGGTGGACAGTCTTTTGAATATATGATAGCTGTTAAACTAAAAAATTATCCATTTTAATGTTGAACATGGGTAGTTTTTTTTTAATTACAATTAAGCGAAGTAATATTTTTTGTTTATCAAATATATTACAGCTGTTAAATTAAAAGAATTATCCAAATTGTCCCATATTTCTGTGTTATGGGCAGTTTTCTGATTTCAAATTAATATTTTATATTTTAAATCAATTTAATTGATATTTTAAATTTTGAATTAAAATTAATATTTCATTAAAAAGCGACAATTGGTTACTCTTTGGGTTCAAATTAATATTATTTTAAATTATATTTAATAATCTTTCAAATATAAAATCAAAGGAAAAGAAATTGAATAGTCTTATATGCTTGCGTTGTTATGTTTTTGGGTGGAATTTTTTAAGGATAGTTGGTATTTCAAATTTCAAATTAATATTTCAAATCTTAATTTATATTTAATAAATATTTTAAATTTTAAATTAAAATTAAAATTAATATTTCATAAAACCAGCAGATTTCTAAAATAAATATTAGTGTCATGTTTCTAAGGGTGTGTTTGGATGAAACCAAACCGTGGTTTGAAAAAGTGATTCTGGAGAATAGATTCTGGAAAAAATAGATTCTGTGAAGAAT